TTACAGCACAGCATTTTAGGTCTTCATTAAACCCTGAGCATAAGACAAAGAAAGACTCAGAAAGGATTATTGTTTTACGGTATTTCATAATAAATATGTTTTATTTGCAGAGGGACAATATGAAACATCAGAAACCCAAAGACACACTCCATAGACCTCAAAACTGAAGTCCACTGTCAATCTCAAACTGACTGACTCATCCTGATACTAATAATATTGAAGTTGAGTTGAATGATGAGTTAATCTGAAACTAAGGATTGAAAAGTTATGATGGTTCATGTGGCTGAAAGTAAAGGGGACGGTTACTGTAGAAAACGCTACTGTTGGGAAAAGTTGCATTATGAATTAAATGAGAAACTGGCGTGAAATATTATCATTATGAAAAATAACAGCACTGAAATAGTTCATTTACCAGCAAGCGCATCTTGTGTTTTTCTTCAGGAAGTGAGCGTATGTTGTCATAATGTCAGTTATGTGTGGTTTTTCTTCTCAGCATTTGGTTAGAGCAGGAAGTGACTCGCCTTTCCTTCCTCCTGCGTGTTTAATGTTGGCACGGGCAACTTTCACAGCACTGAGGTTTAACATTTTACATTGTTATCGTGTGTTGTCACAATAGCCATTTTATTTTGTAAACAAAAGGCAGTGTGCACGCACACACACACACACACACACACTCCGTAGTGACAGCAGTCAGACACATCTTTGCTATACATTAGCTCAATGCTTACCATGTCACTTTGATCTTCAGTGAATAACGTCTGCATCAGTAATTTATGTTTTACCAGTAATGACCCTCATGTCAGAAGATGAGCCATTGTTAGAAAATCAAAATACGTCTGTCAGACTTTTACCCAGTTATGTTTTTGCCACTAAATAAAACCTTTGCACTTATGAGAAATAGTTAAACAATTAAAATGTATGATCTACAACTGCGGACAGTGTGCAGATGTTCTGTTGTAGAGACAGGATCAGGTTCTCACACTGAGCAGGGACATGTTCTACGTGTTGTTGTATCATGTTGTTGTGTTCTTGTATGTCTGTATCTGAAAGTGAGTCTTTTTTCTCTGAGATGAAGTGATAAGGCATATCTTGGTCTCTTTATCTGTGTGTGTGTGTGTGTGTGTGTGTGTGTGTGTGTGTGTGTTCCAACTTTTAAAGCACAATAAAAAATTTGAAAACATGTGCTTCATTGTTACTGCAATTCATCCTTTATAGTTTCCTGTTTCTCAATCAATGTCTTACTGGAAGCTGTATGAGTGTGTGTGTGTGTGTGTGTGTGTGTGTGTGTGTGTGTGTGTGTGTGTGTGTGTGTGTGTGTGCGTGTGTGTCTGTCCTAGACTGTGGAGACATGTGTTGTGCTGGGTTTCGGCTCAGTTACCCTGGAGGCTGTAATCACCCACATCATTTAGGACCAAGCAGCATCACGCTCATTAAATATACAGACGAATGCCGCTTGTACCTGAGAACCAAAGCGTCACAGACTGAGCTGCAGAAGCCTTGTAACAACGTCCAAATTCACCTTAAACAAAAGTGAAACCTTTAGTGAAATGACTCAAGTGAAGTAACTGCTTCCCCAGACTGTCAGCTAGAAGTGAAGCACAAGAGTTACAACAGAGGTGAGAATGTCTCACATTGAGACATTTGTTCATGAAATGGTTAATTTTAGCAACATTTAATAACTGCATCACTGCATTTTTATCTCTTGCTGTGACAGTTCATCAGGTGTTTTCCATTGAGTGATGCTGCTGTCGTCTCTGTGGCTGAAACGTCCTCATTGTGGCTCCTGAAGAAAACAGCTAACCATCATTTTTCCATGTTGTAGTTTTTCAACACAATCCTGTCTGACTCAGGTTTCATCAGAGCTTCTTGTGCGTGGCGACTCTTTCACGCTCTTCCTGCACCTCATCAGCAGCAGCGTGTGTTTGATTAAATCTGATACATGAGCAGCTGGGTGGCAACGGTGGCTACAAGTGCCAGCATGTGCTCTTCAGACACCCTTGGGTGATCACACGCAGGCCAAACAACGCCTCACTGACCACCTGAGACTCTGGGAGGCTGACGGAGGAGACACCTGAGTCCTGGCTGTCTGTTGGCCTCTTCACACCCGCTATCCTGTATCGCTAACGTTGTTAGCCCTTTGCTCTGATGACAGAGTGATTGGTGGACGGCTCGATGTACATGAAGCATTAACCCTGACACACAGCAGGGTGTGGACCATATGCATGCATGCATTCATCGGTGAGAGAAATGAGGAAATTACCTCATCATCATTTGATTTCATGTTAATCCATCACATCACTATTAAGACTTAAAATATTCATATAGTGTACGCTCATTTATTCTGTCAGAAGATGAATACACAACAGCACAAGTGGAACAAATACATTAGCCTGCTCTGACAGGCTAACATGGTGTTCTTTAAGAGATTTCATGTCCATTAACGTAAAAGCCTGGTGTTATTTCATTCCATCTCACAATACTTTCTGATTTCCCTGTCCTTTGGCACCCGCCCAAAGTCCATCAGGCTCTCGCTGTCATTGTAAATCTTTAAAATCAAATTACAAATGTGTATTTCAATTTTTTTTAAAGTAGGGCTCTGTGATTTCCTAAAACAGCAGGCTGCTGTAGTTTCTAGAAAACAGGAGGAAATAGTGCATCGGTTACAGACTATTTTCAGCGGCAGATTCATACACATGCAGGACAGTGTATGTGGGATTTTCTCATAATTAACAACAGTGTCTCTGTTCATGTTAACACAGGAACACGTCAACGCAGTGCAGCTGTGTGACTCATTTATGTGTTTGTATGGCACAAGGCAATGAGCTACTGTATATCAGACTTCAATCTGATCGGATCAATTAATCGCCGGTATGTTGACAAGGCGTATTCTTTAAGCCCTGCAGTGAACTGAAGGCGAAGTTGAATTTTGCATGCTCCTGTCAGCGCTGTTACCTGCAACACTTACTCACTGTAGCTGGAGGACAACAGAAGAAGGGGATGCCCCAAGGAGATGGTGAGGCAAAACAGACTGTAGTTTCCACCTCTGCTCACCAGCACAAATCATTACAAGCACAACTATATCATTTTTGAAAGCTCTCTACTGCATCTTCAGTCCCCTGCTCTATTTCTGTAAAGATTTGAATGGCTGTTGTGGTTTTGGATTTCTTAAAGTCATATCTGAAGCGGTGATATATTTGTCAGGGCAGGAAAACAGAAACCAAATGGGAGAGGACAGTGAAGACACAGTATAATCATATGTGAGCCTTAAGATGATTATTTATGAGCTCAGGCTGAGTGTCCATTGTTTCCGTGGCGTGACCAGCTGTGGATCTGTTACACAGAAGGATGTAGAGTCTCCAGCCCTTCACACAGCAGACCTCCTTTGTCCTGGTCCCAGTCATTAGGGGACTTTGCCCCCCTGCTGTTTCAAGACCCCCACGCCCATCACACATACGAACAAATAACTCCAACATCCAAATGCTGTCTGGGTGCCACTCGTTTGGCCCTTTCAGCAATGTTCAGTACAAGTTGAGCTGACAGTAAATGACTATATTCCAAAGTCTGGATGACAACGTATAAAACAACTTTCAGCTCAATAATTAAACCAGCTAAACCAGAGCAACTACTTTCTTTTAATTCTTAGATAATTCATTTACTTTCTTTCTTTCTTTCTTTCTTTCTAACAATAATGAAACTAGAAGGTTTCATTTTTTTATAGACTGAAATAAGATGAACACACCTTTTAATTCCATAGTAACAGGTGTAACTGGCTTTTCTCAGATCACAGACTGGTGACAGTCATCAGAAGCAGCAGCTTGGCTGAAGGTGTGGCGAGTGAATTATTAGCACACATCATTGTCACAGAGGTAAACAATGGCTTCCAAGATAATTAAGCAGTGATGTATAAAAAAAAAACAAAAAAAAAAACAGAAGGTCTTGTAAAAAGAAAATTCCCAAATACAAAAGTCTTTCAAACATATCTCAGGATCAGCTGTTGTACCAGAACACTGACAGCAAGAAAAGTCATTACATAATGACTTAAAAAATCCAACAGTAGTCTATATACAGCTGTTCCTGGTCTCTCTCTTTCTCCTCTCATCCCAGTGGAGGCGGTTGGCTCTGTCAGAGGTTTCTTCCTGCTTTTCCTCTCCACTGTTGCCAAGTGCTTTCTCATTGTGGTAATTGAATTTAATTGAATTGAAAATGAAATTAAAGTGATTCCAGTAGCCTAATACAATACACTTTCAGTACACACATATTAGGCTACATGTATAGTACATCTACAGCTACAGAAACTATTCACTTTTTACGCATTTTATGTTGTAGATTTAATTTGGAATTAAATGAATTGCAATTTTTGCCCATCTATCTACACTAAATAATCCACAATGACAACGCAGATGTGAGCCTATCAAAAAATAAATGTCTCATTTGAGTACTGTGTTCAGGTGCATCATCTTTGCTTGAATTATTCTTGACATGTGTCTAGAACTAAAACCTACATTATTGAACGGTTTTTACAACAGTAGACTCCCTAAACGTGTAAAATGGGCTGTAAACACACAAGAGCTTTTGTGGTGGTTGAGCTTGAGTGAGAAAACCAGATGGATTATGGGAGATGTGGTCATTGAATGTAGACTATTTTGTGAGTTTAGCTCACATTGACTGACTGCTGTTGATTTTAGGTTTAGATTTAGGAAGTTAAGCTACCTCAACCGGTTTCTGACAGTACGGCTGGTCTACCCAAACGAACGCTCCTTTATTTTATATTTAAAATAAATAAACTATTTAAATTGCTTCTAATAAGCTTCGTGTGTGTGTGTGCGTGGGCGCGTGTTTATGTGTGTGTGTGTGTGTGTGTGTGTGTGTGTGTGTGTGTGTGTGTGTTGAGAGAGAGAGAGAGAGAGAGAGAGAGAGAAGAGCGAGGTGGGTGGGGTCTGCTCCGCCCAAAACAACACACGTCATCGTCTCTCATACTCAGATGGGAGAAGTGGCTACACGGTGCGTTCAACCCCCAGTCTTCGTTCGTCGGCGCCGGGAAAACGAGAGCTCCTCGCGGTGAAAAGACGACGGTTAGCCGCCGAAAAAAGTCGCATGGATGTATTTAACTTTTCCGCCGGTGTTGAGGTGACTCTGGGTTGACGAAGGACGGCTGGAAACAAGTGAGTTCACCCACTCCCGGAGGAGTTTGTTTTTTTTGTTTTCTGTCAGGACGTAAAGAGGAGTTACTACCTTCATATCACGGGCGACCATATAACCGTTTACTGAGGTAACGTAGCCTGAAAGTTAGCTAGCACCGCACGAAAGTGTGTGAGTCTTCACTTAAGGAATACACATGCGTTTGAATAATGGGCATATGTGGTTGTATTTTTGCTGATTATCAAAACACAGTAAGGAGAAAGTATCTGTGAAGGTTTTCGGTCCTCCAGGTTCATGGTTGTTAATGTCCAAGAAAAGTTATATCGAGGAAAACTGGACTTGGTTGTGGATACGTGAAGTATACAGTAGATACAACCAAGTCCAGTTGCCCTTTTAAGGGAAAGTCAGGAAAGTACAACTTAAAACTCCTACTGTGAATTTACAGGACTTTAATCAACAGTTTAAAGTAATTAATACAACAAAAATCCCAAACATCAACTGGTTTCAGCTTCTATATTTGAAAATGTGCTGCTCTTCTCTGTTTAGTATCATATTAAATTGAATATCTCGCAGTTCAAAGTTCTCTGGAAAATTGTGACAATTTTGTGACTAAGCAGCTGATCTGTTCATGTATAGATCATCATCATTATTGAATAGCTGAATGGTTGCTGCCCTGGTCAGTGTAAATACAAATTTATCACAGTAAGTGCCAAGTGTCCCTGAAACCTTAGAGACACAAAAACAAACAAATGAAGCACCCAATGTTAATCCAATATTTGAAGGAGACACCTGAGAGAATGAATTGTGAATGGTCCTTTTGTCTGCCAGTTGACTTTCATTTCTGGTAACCTATTTTCAACCCGGAGAACCTATCAATAGTCTCCTCTCCTCTCTCTCTGATGCCATATGTGCTCTGCAAGATATAAGTTTTTAATCACATGAGCAACATTTTCCAGAGTTACTGTGCAGATGTGTGTCAGCTCTGTAGCTCTGCTATGTTTAGACAGAGAAGTCCAAACCACACTTTGGATGAGTTGCCTCCATCCAGTCTAGAGTCTAAATTATGACCAGACAGTGAGCATTATGAAACAAGGTTAAGTTCAACCAAATTAAGACTAGAGATCATCTAGCCATGGGATCTCACCAGCCGTGATGTTGATGTTCGGACCCATAAGCACTCATTAGTTATTACTACATTATGACATGAATAGTCAGTACTCATGGGTCGAACCACACCCCAAATTCGAACTTGGCCTTCAGTTTGATTTCATCTACACACCTGTAAAGTCAACTGATGTTGTCTTGCAGGGGTGCGATATTATCACAGTGAATGTTTGTCCACAGATATATAAACACCTGCCATTGTACCCAAATTCATCTCTGTGGTAGTTCCCGCTCCAGTAGGTGTCTCCAGGGCCACATTTTGCCCTGATAATATTCACACAAAGACATAAAAGGTGCAAACAATACCAGCTCTGCTGTCCCAGCTGGTAAAAAGAACAAGTTTTATTTTCAGAAAGCAGTCACACAAGCTGATTTTCACTTATGGAAACCTCTCATCGGATTGATTACAGATTAATTAGAGCTTTTATCTGGAAAATACCAAATTTGATGATTTGCTGTTGTGAGGTAGTTTGGCTTATCCCATCACAAATACCAAACCATGTATATATTATCTTGGATTTACTTTTCGTTTAATTTATTTATAGCTTACTGTTCACTCCATCAATGACTTCATTATTTTCTTGTGACTCTTCAGATGTGGCTAATTTCTGTTACTGTGCATCTTCTTCCTTCCCTGTGTGGTTATTAGTAGCTTGTGATACAAGTAGCTCAATACAGAACAGTATGTATGTCTTGTGATGACCAGCCGAGGATAAAGGAAGTTGAAATGCTTGTTGTTTATCTGTGTTTGTATGGATGAGTGTACCTAGTGGTTGGGCTTTTAAGAGATCCAGGTAGCTGCTCATTTATGTATCAAGTTGCTGTGGTAGAGACAGATATACTGGGTACTCATTTTCTATCAATTTCATGAGCACAAAGCTCAAACAATAGCGTCTAGTGCTGTACTGTATTATTTGTGCTGGCCAAATGGACTAACACAGATGCTTTGGTCATCTCAAAGCCATGTCAGTGATTCAGACGTAGCAGACACTCTGCATAATTAGCCAATGATTTCTCCACATAATTGTGTAGAGTGTTTACTCCTCCAGCTCAGCAGCAGTCAGTGAGCACACACGGGCTCCACTCTCCTGCTCAAGGACACTCTGACCATCAAGGGATGTGCATTCACCTGTTGATTAAATCAAACCCGTGACCTTTTGGAATCAGGACATTTTCTCTACCTCCTCTGATGTATTTATCTTATCTATTGCACTTCTCAGTTCTACTCCAGACATTCCTGATATTGGCTGACTAACAGAATGGATGTGGAGACCAACAGCAATGAGTAATAACAGCCATCTACTTAAGGCATGTAGTTTTTTCCAGGAATGTCGATGTGTGTGCAAACAGAAATGTCGGCGGCAGGTTGATTATTCATTAGATGGATTTGCATGACTGGATGTGCAGAAAACAGGCTGCTTAAGGTCCAGACTGTTTGTTTTTAGCTAAGCTAAATCCTCCCTAGTGTGCCACATAGCAGAGAGACTCTGTAGTCAGTACAGTTTAACAAAACATAATTTTTAATAAGCATTCAAAGGCATTACATGTAAAATAAATTTGATTTTCTTAAGTGTTAAATGAGGTACTGAAGGCTTCAGTGTCTCCTTCTGATTTAAAGCTCTGGCTCTTCACCAGTCTTTATTTCATTTCAAGGATTTCAAGGTCAGTCATTTCAGCACATCCCAAATGGGAGACCCTGGGGGTACCCAGGGGTGCTGCTAATTATGGGGACATCCCATCAGGTCTGTACTATAACCACATTTTCGTCATTCATGTTGACACAGAAATCTGCACTGTGCTGTGTAGAGAGACTGTCACACAGTACCAGTCTGAATGTGTTTACTTGGTTGTTCTTTATCGCATCGAATACACCACAGAACAACAGAAAAACATTTACAGTTGTGCATTTGGAAAGGTTACACGAAAACAACCAATATCGCCTTGTTAACTTTGCTAATTAGCTGGTAACAAAGGGAAAGTTTAGATTATTGCACAACAGAAACACTCAATGGTCGTCAGGTTCTAGAGATCCTGTTGCCAGTGGTTGTTTCTCGTTCCTATCTTTCCTCTGGTGTCAGCAAGAGAAACAGTCCACAACTAAATCCAGCCTAATCCAGCCCAGGTTCAGCTCACATTAGTGGGAAACCACAGCAGGAATACAGCTACTTGGCTCCACCTGACTGCTGCCAGCAGCTTTGCTGAGCTGGTGTTACCGCTGCGTCTGAAATTCTCTTTTTGGTGTCTTAGCATAGTTGGCTAGATGAGAAGATTCGTGTCAGCTTGATCTCTGCACGTTCAGTAGAGTGATAGTGTATCTCAGCTTTAAACAACTGACCTTCAGTAACTATAAAACTGTCCTACTTAGATGATACATTTAATTAGTTCAGAAGTCGGTCACCAACATGTCTAGCAGTTTCGTTTTTTCAAATACAAGAGCCTACAAACCTGCAGCTAACAGCGTTACAGAGTATGTGCAGTCACGAAGCACAGCTGTGACTGACTACACAGCTTTTGGTCAAGAACACATTCCACTGCACGTGCTAACTGCTCTGTATACCACAGTGGCACGTTTGCAGTTTCCACATGTGTTAAATACGACATCTAACCAAGACAGCTTTGGAGGCTCATTAATCAGAGTTCGGCTCAACAGTTTTCCTCTCTGTGCTGCACCAGGCTTGAACACATCCTGGATCTGTTAGGCAAAGGAAGCATGAATATAAAACTGATATCCACCTCCTTTTCTGAATATGTGTAAGACAACAAAGTTTTAAGGCTGTATAACATGTGGCCCTAATTATCACTTCCACCATACATTTGAGACTTCATTCTAGCTTGGCTAAACATACATTGATAATTATGAAATAAACTGTTCTACTAAACTAGAAGCCTACTTTTTGCAGTGATTATATTCAGTGTTTAGTATCTAGAGCAGCAGTTGTAGTTGAGATAGGTGTGTAGCAATACTTCAACCACTATTTCTCAAGTCGTGAAAGGTCATCCATAATTATCCCACCCTCTCCCTCTATCCATTAACTTCTCAGCTGGCTAAAGTTTTCATAGTTTTTTTTTTACCCAAAGGGAACAGAAGTTAGCAATGAGCATAGTACCTACAGCATCAGTTGTACTTAATTCACACACAAAAAAAAAAACAAATTATAAATTCCTTAATAACTAGTCATCTGAATTTTAGGTTAGGAATAGCAGGTTTATTTTAAATTGCAGATAATGACTGTAAATCTTAATCAGATGTGTGTTTGTCAAAGTCAGAACCAACTGCTGTTAAGTGCTTGGCTGCCATTATTTTCCTGGATCCATTAATAACAGCTTACAGGAATATACTGCGGCAACTAATCCATAATGTTAAAGCCATTTTGCCGACAGCAGTAGCTCTTGACCATGGCAAATACATCAGCGGGTTTAATGTCTTTAATGGCGAATGGAAAATACAAACTGACACCAGTATTATACTATAATGGCCAATGCACACAGAGAGCCTTTATGTAAGTGATACCTCACATGTACTCAGTGCACTGAGAAAACTGAAGTTAGTTTTAAGTTAGTGCATTCAGACAGTTGGAGGACAGTAACATGGGTGTTGTGTCGGCTCTGTACTCCCAGTTTAACTGTAGGATGTGACACTATGTGGGTTGAAAGCAGACGGTTGCTGTTTTGCCAGGCTTGTACCACAGAGATTTTTCAGTTCCTGCTCGTTTCTGCTCGTCTTCGTCCCCTCAGTCTCTGTGAGTCAAGAGCAATCAACAATTTGGCCCTAAAAAAAAAAAAGAAGATGGTTGACTTTCACCAAAAATATAAGTCAGTACATCATTCAGTTGTCAGATTTTCTTAGCAACCATTTGCT